TCCTCCTCAGTCCTGATCCTCCTCCTCCTGGGTCCTCCTCCTGGGTCATCCTGATCCTCCTCAGTCTTCTTCCTCCTCCCCTCCTCAGTCCTCCTCCTACTCCTACTCCTCAGTCCTCCTCCTCTACACAGTCCTCCTCCTCCACAGTCCTCCTCCTCCACAGTCCTTCCCCTCCTCATCATTCCTCATCAGTCGTCCTCCTCCACCACCCCTCCTCCTCCTCAGTCCCCCTCTTCAGTCCTCCTCCTCAGTCATTCTCCTACTACTACTCCTCAGTCCTCCTCCTCCTCAGTCCTCCTCCTCCTCCTCCTCCTCAGTCATCCTCCTCAGTCCTCCGCCTCCTCCTCTTCCTGGGTCCTCCTCCTGGGTCATCCTGATTCTCCTCAGTCCTCTTCCTCCTCCCTCCTCAGTCATCCTCCTATACTACTTCTCAGTCCTCCCCCTCCTCAGTCCTCCTCTCTCCTTATCAGTTCTCCTCCTCATCAATCCTCTTCACAGGTCCTTCTTCTCCTCCTCCTCCTTAGTCCTCCTCATCCTCCTCATCCACCTCCTTCCCCTCTTCTTCCTCCTCTTCTTCCTCCTCCCCTCCTTAGTTACTCCTCCTACTCCTACTCCTCAGTCTTCTCCTCCTCAGTTCCTCCTCCTCCACATCATTCCTCCTCCTCCTCATCAATCCTCTTCACCAGTCCTCCTTCTCCTTCTCCTCCTCCTTCCCCTAGTCCTCCTCATCCTCCTCATCCACCTCCTTCCCTCCTCATCATTCCTCATCAGTCGTCCTCCTCCGCCTCCCCTCCTCCTCCTCAGTCCCCTCTTCAGTCCTCCTCAGTCTCATCCTCCTTTCCTCAGTCCTCCTTAGTTTTACTCCTCCTCCTCCCTCTCAGTCATCCTCCTCAGCCATCCTCCTCAGTCATCCTCAGTCCTCCTCCTCCTCAGTCCTCATCCTCCTCATATTTCTCCTTAGTTCTCCTCCTCCTCAGTCCTCCTCAGTCCTCCCCCAATCCCTCTCCTCCTCCTATTTAGTCCTCCAACTCCAACTCCTCAGTTCTCATCAGTCCTCCTCCTTCTCAGTCCTCCTCCTCCTCCTTCTCAGTCCTCCTCCTCCTCCTCCTCAGTCCTCCTCCTCCTCAGTCATCCTCCTCAGTCCTCCGCCTCCTCCTCCTCCTGGGTCCTCCTCCTGGGTCATCCTGATTCTCCTCAGTCCTCTTCCTCCTCCCCTCCTCAGTCATTCTCCTACTACTACTCCTCAGTCCTCCTCCTCCTCAGTCCTCCTCCTCCTCCTCATCAGTCCTCCTCCTCATCAATCCTCTTCACCAGTCGTCTTCTTCTCCTCCTCCTCCTTAGTCCTCCTCATCCTCCTCATCACCTCATTCCCCTCCTCGTCATTGCTCACCAGTTATCAGTCATCCTCCTCAATCCTCCTCCGCCTCCCCTCCTCTTCCTCAAGTCCCCCCTCTTCAGTCCTCCTCCTCAGTCCCTCCTCCTCCTTCTCCTCAGTCCCTCCTCCTCAGTCCTCCTCCTCCCCCTATATCCTCCTCCAGGGTCATTCCTCCTCCTCCTCCTGGGTACATCTGATCCTCAGATCCTCCTCAGTCCTCTATCTCCTCCCCTCCTCAGTCCTCCTCCTACTCCTACTGCTCAGTCCTCCTCCTCCTCCTCATTAGTCCTTCCTCCTCCTCCTCATCATCCTCTTCACCAGTCCCTCCTTCTTCTCCTCCTTCTCCTTAGTCCTCCTCATCCTTCTCATCACCTCCTTCTCCTCATCTTACTCATCAGTCACCTCTCAGCCCTCCGCCTCCCTCCCTCCTGTTCTTGTCCCCTCCTAGTCCTTCCAGTACCCTCCTTAAACCCTCAGTTTTACTTTTCTTCCCCTTTTTTTTTGTTTCCCCCTTCCCCTTTTTCTCTTTTTTTTTTTTTCCCCTTATTCCTATTCAGTCGATTGGTTTCCTCATTTTTTTTAGTTATTTCAGTCCCCTCCTCCCCTCATCCTCCCCCTCCTCTCCCCTCCTCCTGCCCCCACCTCCCTCCCCCCTCCTATCCCCCCCACCTCCTCAGTCCCCCCTCCCCCCTCCCCCTCAGGCCCGAGCCTTTTCCCCCGAGTCCTTCTTCTTCTCCTCCTCCTCCTGACTCCTCCTCCTCATCAGTCCTCTTTCTCCTCCTCAGCCCCCTCCTCCTCCTCAGTCCCCCCTCCTCAGTCCCCCTCCTCCTCTTCCTCACTTTCATCCCTCAATAATTTGTTCAATTTATAATTATTGTTGGTGTTATTGTTTACACAATTTATTGTTATACTAAAATGTTTTTAAGCGTATTTGAGTCTGACTCAAAATGTGCTCAAGAATCTTTTGGCTTAACAGAGTTTCACTCTCCAGTAATAATAATATGGAAAAGTTGTTACATGACATATTTCATAAAAAAATTCCCTTTTCATCCCTTTTTATGTTATTCTTAGTACCTAATTGAGTATTAAAAGTTTGAGAAAGGACCATGGTCATTAACCGGGCTACCCATTTCTGCAAATAGCCTGTTACAAATTGTGGAGAAAATTTAAATCAAAAGTTACAATTTTTGTCCGTTTTTGTCCGTTTTTGTCCGTTCGGTACCCTATTTCTGAAAACGGACAAAATTGAACGGACAAAAACGGACAAAAAATAACATGAGCCCCCCCCCCCCCTAATGTCCACCAATGTCCGCTAATGTCCACCAATGTCCATCCAAGTCCGCCAATGTCCGTCCGGGTCCGCCAATGTCCGTCCGAGTCCGCCAATGTCCGTCCGGGTCCGCCAATGTCCGTCCGAGTCCGCCAATGTCCGTCCGAGTCCGCCAATGTCCGTCCGTGTCCGCCAATGTCCCAAAAAACACGTCCGTGTCTCATAGAATCCAAAAAGGACAGGACATAGGCGGACATAGACGGACATGACACCCCCCCCCCCAATAAAGCAGTCAAGCATCATGTATGTTATGTTGAGTATTCTCAACCAACAAATGTGGGAACTCCCACGAAAGACCAAAACAGATCTAAAGAGACACTTAACAACATTGGAAAAATAGACTTCAATTTGTTTATATAATTTATAAAGCGTATATTATTGCCCACGTTAAGGGGCCTGTTAATAATTTATTAAATTATTAGCTATTTTAGATTTAATAATAATAATACTAAAGCAGGATGAGTTGTAAATAAGATTTTACGTTTATAATCTACCAAGTGCCAAAACGCATGCCGAGATGGACTCGTCGATGGTCTTTATTTATTTGCAACTAATATCTTACAACTATCTTACAACTTATACAACTAAATCACATGCTGCACAGCAGCAGCATGTGCAGACACCACGGTTACTTGGGGACCCCAGGCTTTATATTCATAAACATTGAAAATATGGTGGAATGACAGACTAAGTAATGTACAGTATTATTGATTATACAATAAGTGTACGTTTATTTAGAGGTAGTTTACGGTTTATCACTCAAGGCCTTCTTGCAGTTGTTTTAAGCAGCATATTCCAAATCTATTATAACAGAATATAAATTCAATATTTTAAATTTTGGAGTTTTCCCGTTCAAAAGAAAAGTTTATCTAGAAATGAAATTTTGTGATAGAAATGAATTTGTGAGAAAAGTTGATTTTTCTTTCAAATGCCTCCCCGTCGAGATGTTGGTGAAAAAACTGTTTTGATCACATGACATGACCATGTAAGGAAGTTGGTATAATTTTTCGTTACGGTTAGGGTTATAGGATATGTGTTGTTGTTTGGGTCAGAGTAGACGGTCAGGGTTTTGAAGTCACGTGATTGTCGAATGTAGAGTGGCCGAGATGGACTCGTCGATGGTCTTTATTTATTTGCAACTAATATCTTACAACTATCTTACAACTTATACAACTAAATCACATGCTGCACAGCAGCAGCATGTGCAGACACCACGGTTACTTGGGGACCCCAGGCTTTATATTCATAAACATTGAAAATATGGTGGAATGACAGACTAAGTAATGTACAGTATTATTGATTATACAATAAGTGTACGTTTATTTAGAGGTAGTTTACGGTTTATCACTCAAGGCCTTCTTGCAGTTGTTTTAAGCAGCATATTCCAAATCTATTATAACAGAATATAAATTCAATATTTTAAATTTTGGAGTTTTCCCGTTCAAAAGAAAAGTTTATCTAGAAATGAAATTTTGTGATAGAAATGAATTTGTGAGAAAAGTTGATTTTTCTTTCAAATGCCTCCCCGTCGAGATGTTGGTGAAAAAACTGTTTTGATCACATGACATGACCATGTAAGGAAGTTGGTATAATTTTTCGTTACGGTTAGGGTTATAGGATATGTGTTGTTGTTTGGGTCAGAGTAGACGGTCAGGGTTTTGAAGTCACGTGATTGTCGAATGTAGAGTGATTAATTCAAAGTGAGTGACCATCCAAATAATTACAAATAATTAATATCATGATAAATCATCTGATCGATTTTTGTACCTATTTTCGTCTTTTATTTTTAAAGTTAAATTTACATCTTTTAACAATAAAATTCATTATTATATTGCGTAACAATAAAGTGTATTATTATATGGTGTATGAAGTGCTTGTAGTCAATAAAGATACCACAGTTATTGTAATGAAAATGAAGCCTTTGCTGCATTGTAGACTGTTGATAGGGAATAGTATAGTACCCATTCATATAACCTTAAACATTGAAGTTATCAATGAAACTGGAAACGAGAGTAGTCATTTTCCTACATATATTTGTTTATTTCTATGTATTTGCAAATAATTGGGATTGTTATTAACTTAAATCGTTTCAGGATTAGTACAATTGTGTATTCAATAAAATGATTACCACTTTTTTATCCTTTTATCCTATCTGCAGAAATGATATAGTTAAACTTTAACTTACAAAGTCAAGTAATAGTGAATGGTTATAGTTAAATAATAAACCATACTACTAATAAAACATTATGATAATAACATTCTCCCCCGAAAAGTACGTCATACCATTTTCATTTTTGCAGAAATTAATGGAAGTGGACCTAAGGTTAATTCAAAACAAGATATGTCACCCGGTAGAAGAGATCAGATGCCGTACAGTTAACAGCTTGCTTTATAAATTGGACCAGAAACTTGTCGATCCTGCATCATTGGTGAATGAAGATCAACTTTTTAGAGCACTTTTAAAGTCACTTGACTTTGGTGGTACTTCAGTTCATCAGGTTTGTCACTTAAATGTCGACTGAACCAACTACACATTAAAAGTTGTTTGTTGTTTTACCTGCTTTTCTATTTTACACAGTTTCTTGACTGGTAACTGCTTTAATAACCTTAGATTTACTTTCTACTTTTTCTCAGGTTCTGCACATTTTGGACGTCCTATCAAATGAAAAGCAGGGTACAGCAGCTCTTGGTAGTTTGGGTGGTATAAGTTCACTCAACAGTTACAAGACCAGCACTAGCGAACCGAGTGACCTTGCTGATAAGATAATTGATAAAATCTTGTCACACCCTGTTGAGGTAATAAATAAATAAATCTTGTAATTTTGTATTCTGTTTTATATCTGGTAGGAGTCATGGATTTGTCAGAAGAGGTAACAAATTATATCAATCTTTCATTTTGAATAATGATCACAGCTCACAATATGCTCAGGAGATTGAAGATAGAGGAAGTGAAACTTCTTCACCAAGAACAACCTTAACAACCATAAGTTCTGTGCAAGACGAATCCTGCAATGATACTACTGAAAATGATACTTGTGCCAGTACTCTTGAGGTTACTGGTAACCATGATGTGACCAAAGCTTCGTCTGATAACATTGTTTTTCCTGTTGTCAAACTCAATGAAAACGACTCTCATATCCTTAAGGTAGTATTTGTAATGTTATAGCACAATTAGGTTTAGTATTTCAGTTAATAAAGCTAGCTATTAGGTCTGAGTTAGAAACTACCCGAAAACATGATGAAAATATCATTTTATCACACATTCCTTTGAATAAAATGGTAAAAACAAAACATTAAGTCTTGTACTCATTTACAGAATATTGAAGACCGGTTGCTGGATGACTCACTTTTTATCCAATCTTGTGATTTCTTCAAAGATGTCCTCCTCCACGACTACCCTACAGAGACATTTCTTCAGAACACAGGAATAGTGTTGAGCATACTAAAACAGCTCCGGGACTCAAACACCCTGTGTCCCTCTCTGACTAAAGAACAACACGCTGTTGCTGCTCTTACACGGTTAGATATGTACATTGTACAAGTTTACAATTTGCTATTAATTTTCCTTAATTGGACTAACATTTATTTTCCTAAAATTTACTTAATGAAGATAAATAGAACTTGAGTCGCAATTTTACTTTAGACTCGTAGTTTTAGGTTAGAAAATATTGAACATTTTAGGCTGACCAAAGTTTCTAGACCCAAGAGGCCAAGAGGAAACGTTCGGGCCAGAAAATGTTAGGATGACTGCTTATTTTTCAATGAGTTTGCTTGTGCTTCTGAGTTGCATTTCGAGTCTATGACTATTTATTTTGAATCTTGTGATATTTCTTCCGTATTATTTGAGGTTATCAAAATCACATTCCTTGGGGAAATCAGTTTTCGAAAACACTTGCCCCTCTTGAGGGTGCAAGGCTATTAAAAAAACCATAAACTTTAAGATGTATATTTAAATTCTGAATTTCATCGCCAGGAAAACAATTAAATTCCAAAATTTAAAATGCAATAATATCAGTGGAGCAATAACATTCGGAATATTTATGTCTTCAAATTTACTCATCTTCTGCTCCTTTGTTGTTCGTTCGTTTATTGCCTTTTTCCTCCTCCTTCTTCCCTTTTTCTTATAGGCTTCTGTCCTTCCTTTGCCCTCCTTATTCCCTTCTTCCTTCCCTCGCTTATCTTTGTAAGATCTAATTCAGTAAAGCACTTATTTTTACACTCTTTTCTGCAGTTCTTGGTATGACATCCAGATTCACAATTTTCCATACAAGGTTTACCTTTGGTGTAAATCTTTTGCCATTCTATTAATCTTTCAGTACACATTCTTTTACATTGAGCTTCACCATTCCTGTCCGCAACACCACTATTCTGTAGCTCTTTTTTGCACAACTCCGTGCATCTTTCATCGATGGCATCAACTGGAGGACCTCTACCACGTTGGGCACTGCTACCATTGGCAAAGAAAACTGTGACAACTGCCAAGAGAACAATCATAACATCAATAAAGGGCTCGATAACTTTAAAGTCGCAAGCTCTAAAAATAATGAAATCGAACTGTGGACTGACTCCTTAAATAGGTGATTTTATTTTTGTTTTATAGGAGTGGTAACCTTTCAGCTCCCATTAGGTACCATCCACGTTACTTCAAATTAAGTTAACTTTAATTTAGGCGATATCTTCAGAAGCATTGTGCTCTGAGGAGCATTGAATCATAAGTTAATGCATTTCGCCGTTCAAGGAATCAAACAATATTTGATGGATTTAAATGGACTCATTAGCGTGCAAAGCTTGTTATGAGTTACTAAGTGAACATTTTGAGATGTTACTGATGTGTTTTTTTACCGTTGCCAAGACACATTAGGGATTCTTATTCTAGGGATTCAATTATTGTCCTTTAAATGAAACAACGTCGATTTAGCAAAGAAAATAATTCGGATCATCTCTCACTAAAATAATAGATAATGAACAATCTTCAGAATGTTTGAGTGTTTGGAGGTAAGGATATCTCTCTTAACCCAATGTTGGATCAGCATTCCAAAGTGGAGCAAATCAGAAACCGAACTGAACGCAGCACCTCATCCCATCGACAAGCCCGTCCTATCTTTACCCAAGTACAACCTTATCGTAATCCTTATCTTAATCCTTATCTTAATCCTTATCTTAATCCTTATCTTAATCCTTATCTTAATCCTTATCTTAATCCTTATCTTAATCCTTATCTTAATCCTTATCTTAATCCTTATCTTAATCCTTATCTTAATCCTTATCTTAATCCTTATCTTAATCCTTATCTTAATCCTTATCTTAATCCTTATCTTAATCCTTATCTTAATCCTTATCTTAATCCTTATCTTAATCCTTATCTTAATCCTGATCTTAATCCTTATCTTAATCCTTATCTTAATGCCTAAATTAATTGTAGTGTAATCCGGCATGTAATTATGTATACTCCTCTGTTTTGAGTTGCTTCTTAAGTAAGCCTAATAAGCACACAGCTCACTAAACAAGTACTGTACCATTTTGTTTCAGGTTACTCTTTATCTCGTTGAAGTGTGTTTTGCCAGTCTATAAAAGATGTGACGACGAACTGTCAGTTAAGCTTCTCACAGCTCTGTTGATGAAAATCTCTAAATTTCTTAGCACCCTCAACACAGCACCCTTTACGTTCAATGTCAACACGAGTCAACTACAGCACACTTTCGGTAGGGTTCTGCTCAACTTCCTTCGAGAACATTTCATGTTAGAATTAATCACACAATTACAAAAATGTAACGTGATTTTTTATCCATTACTAAGGTGGCTGCCCTAGATTCCAAATGATTTATTTAAAATTTCACAAATAGACTGAAACAATAAAGGTACATCTTCCCCAGGTCTTCTTGGGGAGAGTGTCAGATCAGTGTACAGGAAGTGGAGTAAAACCTCAGTTATCTCGACCCTTTCTCCAACCCTCTTAGCTTCATTGATTTCCTTCGCTCTTTCATTCTTCGACCATTTCATACCCGCAGAAAAATACTCAGGTTCGTGGATTATCTAAATTAAGGAGTTTTATTTCTTCAAATATCATTATTAGCAAAAGTTCTTGAAAATATTACCGATCGATTTATCAGTTCGATGTATAACCTGGCATGCGGTATGATTATTTGGTAGTGGCAACCCAAGCGACGATGACAAATACACTATGTAGTAAGCTGGCCGTTAAAAATAATAGAACATTTTGAACGTAGATATTGCTTAGCTAGGTGAATGTTTATTCGATCTATTCAACTGTTAAAACAGGGATTTTTTTCAGATTTCTTGCCGACGACGCTGCTTGATGTTTTTAGGGATCTTTACTTAAACCAAACTTTCTGTTTGTGTCATCAGTAAGTCGTAACATTATTCACTTTTTACTTTTTATTTCTGGATATACATTAAACAATAAACATTTAGTTTCTGGATATATGTACAATAAACATTTAGTTTTGTTTCTGTTTTAATTCTTTTTCACTGATACTGTGTAATCTTTTAGTAACATCGCATTTTAAAATATACACTACTTCTTATGTGGATTATTCGGACGATGTTTATTTTTCAGAAACCCTTTAATACCCAAACATTTTCAGAGCGCCATACCAACAGATAGAGAAAATATTGGAAGTTACTATGCCAGAGTTGGTGGAACAGAGAAACAGAGTAAACATGATGCTTGAAATGATAAGTGTAGCCACGGGAAGGACCCCTATCGCAGCTCCACAACAAATACAACAGCTATATGACGGTTTAGAGGGATGTGTTCACTTCAAAGATGACAATCTCATACAACAAGTGGTATGGAACTTTGCTCTTCCTACGATCGACAATTTCACATGAACGATTTTGTTAATTAATGTCAGCTATAAATTATTATCAATAAAAAACGTGACCATTATAAAAGCTAGTATCCGTGGCTAAAAACTGAAAACTGCCGAAAGTGCTGAAAACTGCTGAAAGAAGAGCGGTCTACTGTGTAGTATGAAACTTTCTGTTCAGGTACAATGTTTGTTGGACAACATGGCAATGGAACTGGAGACTTGCACTAACAGTCTGGTGTGGCTTATGAGCAATAAAACTGTTAATAAAACTGTTTACACCTTTCTAAGCGATTGCACTCGAAAAAGATTTATCTTCTTGCATTCAGGTGAAAATGAGTGATGTTTATTCTTAAATGTATAAAAGTTACACCGACTGAAATCTGAACAGTTTTGTACGAACGATAACAAGCTTTTATGGCACATTTCGTTGACAATTTTCCGAAACTCAAGCTGCCAAAATTTAGATTCCAGGCCGTGTCTGATTTGAATAACATATTCATTTAAAAATCTGATAAAAATAATCAAAAGTAAAACTTTCAGATGTGTTGTGGGAACTATCAGTACACGGCCTCACTTCCTCCCCCGACGTCCAAATGCCCGCAACTCGCCTCCTTACCAACCTCCTCACCATGGTCACAAACGAAGCTCCCACTACCCAGCACAAGTTCTACCGTGCACTCCAAAACTCTCTCATCTTCGTCATATCAGTGCTAGTGCACGTGCCCGAGATGCGCGAAACAGTGCACAGTTACTTGAGTGATAACGCGCGGTTTATGACTGAGGTGGAGACGGTTAAGATCTGGGTTGCCATGTTGTTCAGTAGATGTGAACTGGTTCGGAAGTGGCCGGTGGTAAACCTTGCTAAGTGGGCCGCTTCTCAGGGTGTTGTAAGTAAAAAATAGTTTAAACTTATGATTATTGTATTATATTTAAACATGATTTATTGAGATAGGTGATTCGTTTGTAAAAAGCATGATTTATTTTTTCTGTTATTATTCTGGTGACTGCTGTCATGTTCTTGATGGTATTACTTATGATGCTCATACTTCATACTCTTGCAAAATGAATTCAGACGAATATCTTTTTCATTCACCAGGGATTAAAGCTGAGTGAGTCATGTCTGGTTGTATCAGAGAGCAACAAAACTGTTTTGTCGGTATCAATGACTGCTGGAAATTTGGACGTAGATTCGATTGAGAAACTAAAGCTAATATCATTTAACACAACGCTATCTGAAGATCTGAGAGTTTCGGCTTTACAACAGGTTTTTATATAATGTAAATTATACACTTTTTATAAAACTACCTGATTAAGAATTGATTTGTTTATTGTGTTGCTGTATTTAGTTATGGTCTGAAATTGGACGGTCGAATTGTCCTAGTTTAAAACGGTGTAAATATATGTTTGTGGTTTGGTTGTACTTCTACAGTGTGCATCCTCAAGCGGTTGTTAACAATATTTGGAATGCTATCAGTAATTTATAGGAGTAACTTTCATCCAAGAAATATGATCGTAATTTATTTCGTTGTCTAAATGTTGCTGTCATTTCAGCTTGCAGTGTTGCTATCAGATGCTTCAGTGCACGGCAGTTTCGCGACTTTACCTGCCACTCTTATTGGGATGCTGTGTGGTGAGTTGTTAGTAACCTGACACTTATTTATCAAATAAAGGTGTGGCCCATGAGTGATGTTACTATAGAATCTAGATCCCGACGGAGTTGACGCAAAAGAATTTCAAGATTGTTTTTTACCTTAGGCACCTACTTTTAAGCTTTGGTTCAGAAATATTTGAGCAACTTTGGGTTTTTTTAACCACCCCAAAAAACCTATTCCACCCCAGAAATAAATGTAAAGAATGGGATGGTGTTACCGATAGTACGATGTTTACGACACCTTGTTCACCACAACCCGGCTACACGTGAGACTCTAGCTGCTAATACTGAACTCTACGCTTCCTTACTCAGGATCATAGGTAGGTGGGCTAAAAATAACAACTAATGAACAATCGAGTATTTCAAATTTTTATTTCAAATTATTGTTGATTACACTAAAGGTTTAAACAATCGAGTATTTCAAAATGGTAACATAGATTTAAGCCATTTGTAAAGAAATTATATTATAAATACATATCATATGTTTCAAATTTATTAGTGATTACACAAAAAGTTTAAACATTAAACTTAAATAACTCAAACACTTATTTTGGTCATGCCAGAACAAAACATAATCTCTTCAGTGAAGAGCACTGTCAGCAGACAACTGATTCCCCCTAAGAATATTCACTATTGATTATAAATGTATTTATTTATTATTGGTCATGCTTCCTTTAAAACTCTTTAATTGTGGGCTGATTGGCTGATTTCAGGTTTACGCGAGGCAGTAGAGTCAGGCTATGAGCCAGAGAGGGAGGTTACAGCGGAGGTTGGAACTATTCTACTTTTGCTAGTCACTCACCAGTTCTCCTCTCCTCACTTCTGGTAAGCCCATTTAAGTGACAACCCCCACATATTTATATCTTAGACCCCAGCTAGACGGCACGTAACGAGTCACGTAATCGATTACGAGGTGTGTTACGTGCCGTTTACCTAGGACCTAAGACTCCATCAGCCATCTCGTACTGCGGTCTGTCTGCAGTGCGTACCGTCTAGCTAGCATCTCAGACCGTTTCACGTAGTGGGATACGAGATGGGGTATTTTTATACATCTAGACGGCACGCGCTGCAGACAGACTGCAGTACGTGATCCTGTATATAATCCTAGCTATTTCACTATTTATAAAGCGAGACGATGTATAATATATATAAAGGTATATCTGTTGCAATTTTACTGACAGTTGACACCACGTCATCAACTTTAACGCGACTTCCCGCGAAAACCGTGAGAGATATACCATTCAAACTTTGTTGAGTGGGTCGAATGCTTTTATGACCAGTATGATTATGAAGAAATAATTACAAATTTGCCAAGAAATAAGAATTATAGTTCCCGAAATTTTGACCCCAAAGTGGTATAAAAATCACTAAATAAATAAATGTTCTTGTCTGTTGTCCTGTTAACCGGTACCTGCTTCAACTGCACTATATTGTACATTTAAAACTTCGCCCAAATCATATGTAGACCATTTGCTCAGGAGTAACAGAAGCTACTACGATCTATACAACGTGATCCTACCCGAGAGCGTGCCACTATCTCTCCACCTTCCCACCCACCTCACCACCCTCTCCCCAGTACGACCCCTTCCACCTCCTGTGGTACCCACAGTCTGGTTACCCTGGTTACAGGCTCACTATCACGTGTCCTGTATAGGGGGTGTTAGCAGGTTTCTGGAGAGACAGTCTGAGATTCCTGGGGTTGAGGGAGTGCGGAGTGTTCTCAAGGTACGTGACCATCTGCATTACTCAAAAATGGCTGTTGGAATGTCCGAAGTAAAATAAGTGTTAGATTAAAAATAGGAAAGATTAAAAATAGGAAAGAAACACGGTTTTATGAGCAATGATTTAAAGTGACCAACACCATATGATTTGGTATTGTAGTCGAATCTCTAAATTTTAATCAGTGATGTGAGCGAAACGTATCTTCACATCACCACTCTCCAACAGGTAGCATACATTCCCGCCCAACTCCCGGACTCCTCCCACTCGTATCTGGAGATAGTATCTGCCCTGTGTTCCCTGTCTGGGGATGATATCTTGTCAGGGCTGGTACAGGATGAGATCAGGAAGAGATGTCATGATACTCCTGACGTTCTCCCACTCCTCAAGTTTTACAAGTCCTCTCTACCCGCTAATATCACAGGATACTTTTTAAGGTAAATCAAGGAATTATATTATTATTGAGGGTGCCTGAATATTATCAATCAATAAAGACCGCGAGGATAACGTGAAAAAAGAAACTTCACTAAAATATTTTATATCCAGTAAACTGGAAGAGACGACGGAAGCAGCAGACTCATTGCAGACGACACGACAGCTAGTGGAGCTGTACTGTGAACACAGACCTCTACAGGAGCAGTGTGCTGGGAGACTGTTTGGACCTCTACTCAGACTCTTTAAATCAGTGCAAGACAAGATGGCTCTTTCTCAATTCATTGCTAAATGTCTGCCCATTGCTTCACGCAGGTATAGTATATATTATATATTAGGCTGTAACGAATAAGACTGGCCGTGGTTACCTTTTATTTAGAGATGTTGTTATACCCAACAAGCACCGCATGCACCTCAAATACCAGTTGAATAACACGGAAAGAAGAAAAGAACTAAGCACAAAATAATCTATTCAAACGTACACAAAAAATATATAATATTGTACTCCAATGACCCAATTTCGGTAATTTTAACCACTTAACGGACAGTTTAAGTTTATACACAGTGCAACTGCACCTATTATATATAACATTATTAACATAACCAATATTTTGACAGGTTAGAGGTGTCATTGAAGGAACGAAAAGATGTCATGAAGACGCTGACAAAACAGATAGACGCTCTATCGCACGGTAGAGGCGACTGTGACTCGTATATGGGAGCTCACATTCTCAGATACTTGTTTTGGTAAGTACATGATGGGAGCTCACATTTTTTTAAATGTTCAAAAAATGCAAAGTGTATCAAGTAAAATACGCTACACAGAAAGATATGTAATTAAGATTAACAATAAAGATGTGTGCGCCAAACAACTCGTATGATTCGTACGCGCTCTAGAGTTGATCACAGCAAAACATTTTCTCCTCTGAACAATTAACAGTGGTTAATTTCAAAGATAAGCTACAGTTTGGTATTTCAGTTATTGGTCATCTTTAGCATGAAGAACGTACAATCCTGAGACAAACGTTTGTCCAAGCCTGTGAACTATGAATTCTTGTTATCACAACATTTTAAATATTGCTTCCAGACGCTAATCGAGACGTGATTAAAGGTTTCCTACCGGTCAAGTCTCTAATGACGCTCACAACATACATTCCAAACCTTTTGTTGGTGAAAGTGTAGAGTATCGGGTTTCCAAACGAGTTGAGTTGGATTGCTTGGAATGCCAACAATTCCATAGCAACAGGAACATGATCCGGATCTTTAGACTTCCACACAACATAGGCGATGTAGGGAGCCCAGCTCATGATAAAGAGACCAGATAGAAGACAAACAGTGGTCAGAGCCTTGGTTCCTGGGCTAGCTGTGGCTGTAGCTTCTCTTTTGGAAAGTCTGTACGCGATTACACAAAGGACTGTGTTGATGATAGTTATGCCAATTAGCGGAACGAAGACGACCCCGAATATAGAGAAAGTAAATATGGTGGATGCGGCAGCATTCTGGTATATGGTTGAGAAACATTTGGCTGATGTCCGGACAAAGACCGACTTGGACCCAAAACCGAGACTTACATCTAGAACCATCGAACCAAGCACCCAGATGAAGAAAATAATGATTTTCACCGTTCGAGTAGAAAGAGAAATGCTAAGAGGACAGTACACCATACGGAGTCTGTACGCGGTCAGAGCTAGCAAAGTTAAAGTGTTCACAGATCCGGGAACAAAGGAAATCTGTGCGCTAACAAAACAGTAAACCTCCCCCAGAACATATCTTCCAGCAATGAAGGTGACAGTGCTGGGGAGAATGTTGCAGAAGATGTAGAGAAGGTCAGCTACAGCTAGGTTCTGTACGAACATCAGGGAAACTTTGTCTAGTTTTATGGCGTTGTACCGGAGGGATGAGTAGATTACGATAGTGTTGCCGGCGAGTCCGAGTAGAGTTACCAGGGTGTTGTAGATTGCGAGGGGGACTACTTGTGCTGTGCCGAGTAGTAGGGAGCTTTCCATTGTGGGAGACATTCTGCACTGTTCCTACTGATGTGTTCATTATTTTTTGTAGTTATAATATAAAGTATTCATTTTCAATTCATATTTCAACTGAAGAGAAAATTATTGCTACAGAGAAATTATTGCTACCGAGAAAATTATTGCCACGTAAAAATTTTAAAATTTACAAATCTTATAGATCCAATATCCTTTCTCCGACCGTTATAATAGCTCATTGCACTTAATCACATATTATCCAACACGTGGAGGTCAAAGACTCAAAGAGGGAATAGATTTCGTCCCGTTATCTTATTAAAGTTTGTTAAACATTAAATTCAGCTGCAGTCTCTTAATTTCAGGGGCAGCTGCCCCACTCTCTACTCTAGTTGTCCTCGGCGATAATTGATAATAACTTACGGACTTGTTTTCAAAGCAAGTCCGTAGGACGGGCATACCGCTAGTACTACTAACTTGTACTACTACGGTATGTAAAATCTTAGTTAAAAGAAGAGAAGCGACTATATAACAAGGACACGTACCAGTCGTACCCACAGTAAACAGTTAGTGTCGTGTTGTCGAATTAGCTGAGGCGATGGGGCCATCTGATACCGTAATAGTGAGAGATTTTAGGTAGCCATATGGACGGTCAACAGGTTGCTATCTATGTACACGATTTCCCAGAAATTGCCCGAAACTAACTTTCTGACACGGTCTCTCACTTTGCCGGGTTGTAAGACGGGTCTACTCTCAATCAGGAATTTACAAGTTGCAGGATAGCTCCGTCACACCTGGTACAGGTTTAGCGTCTAACGACCATGTAAAATCTAACAGTTTTGATTGTTCGCAGAAATCCGATTTCGTACAATTTCATCGAATGATTAAGAAAATAAATGTATGAATGGGTGTCGTTTGAGATGATTGATGGGATATTAATTCCTCCAATGTTCACTATATGGGTTAAAGTGGCAAATATAACACCATCATACGGGGCTCAACTTCTCCGGAAATCATGACGTAAAACTAATGAGAAAGATCAGCCAAAACAGCTGAGCAACTCTAAGACCACAACCTAGAAAATGTTAAGAACGAAATATGGGAGGTCCAAGGTTAGTGAAGGAAGTGTCAGCACACACCTGGCGCGTGACTTATTTAAGAAGATATTAAAGCGATTAAAACCAAGTATTAGCTGTCTGAGCTAGAGGCTATGAACTGAGACTGCTCAAATGAGGTTAAGACTTACATCATTCACTAATGTCACGCAGCACGCTCCAATGAATACATCTGAACTGTGGATATAGTGTTAATTGGTAAAAGTTTACGTATTCTATCTTAATATCTCCTATTTCAGCTGCCTGATAAACGTGAATACACCTGAAAGTACCAATGTTAAGATACGGTGGATTATTCCCTGGATCACTGACAAAGACCCTGTGGTAAGATGACACTTTATTTATAGTGCAAAACTCCCACGTTCTAACTGTAAATCAGTCGAACTTATAAAATTTAGATTTGCTGAGTTCTGACTCTAGTTAAAACTATTAAAAACCTTTATTTCAGATAAGAAGCGTGGCATTCTCTCTAGATTTCCAGAAACCAGACTCACCTCTCACAACTGAATCTGGTGTAGTTCTCGCAATAAGTGCTTTTAATGATAACTCTGAAGTGTACTCAGTTCGTCACCAAGCTCTCTCTTTCATTCACCGTATAATAAGTGCTGTGTCAGCTAACTCTGACGAACAAACCATGGCGCTGTGCGTGTTAGCACTCAAGCGCATGGCACTTTACGACAGCTGCACTGCATTTGTGAAGGAGCTTAACCAGCTAGTCCTGTACAAGTATGAGGAAATTGACATCACGCAGTCACAAATGATAACGTCCTATTTTGAAGAATTCTCTGAGAAGGAGAAACCCTGGAAATCTACCTACGTGGGTTTGTTTAGTATCCTAGATGGAGTTTTGCAAGTGAATCTGACCTTGGGAAAGTGTGCAGTGGTGGCTGTAAAAAACAATGCGGAACTTCTGGGACCACTGTATCCGATGTTCAACGTTGATACGCTGAAATGTATCCTGATGTTCGACGTCACCTCACTTGAAGTATATGTTTCTTGTTTTTGCAAGCTGCTGATTCTATCTGATTCCACTCTATGTGACATTGATTTTCTTCTCGATGTAATCCGGGTTTTGGAGTTGGACATTGAGATAGAACTTATTATTTACTTGAAGTCTCACTGCCTGCATTTTATAAAACAGCTGATAAATGAAGGAGCTTTGGATGATCACTGGAATAAACTTCTTCCCTCCATCGCTAAATTCCTTGCATACCAACCCCTGCAACAAGAATGTCTACAAATTCTCAGTTGTACGCTAACTCACAAAAACAAAGCTGAATTTGCATCTCTTCTACAGAAAAACCCAGAACTTTCAAACAGTCTTTGCGAGGTTATATTCGACATTTTCTCGAAGTTTAAGATAACCTCGCTCGAGCAGTACGACATGCTCGTATTCAGCGTCACTGGAATGTTATGTCAACAGGTGGAATGTTGCAGGAACAAAGCAGTAACTCATGGTATAGTGGAGATATGTTACGATTACATGTTGTTGTTGAAACAGCACATGGGTGCTCTGGCTGTGGCTTCGGGTAAAGAAAATCGTGGAGGAAACACCAGGGTTACGAAAACAAAAGCCGGCAAGGTAGTCGACATGGAGGACAAAAACCTGCTCAAATCACTGAGTTGTGTGATGTTCTGTCTTTCTTGCTGTATTGACGGTAATATTACCGCAGCTAGACGATTAGCTGATCTAGATGTAATCGCTACACTTGATCAAATGTGGGTTCACTATTGCAACAATATTGTTGTTCTGAACTATGTGGTTAAACTTCTCAGTTTGATGGCTAAGGCAATGCCAGCTTCTGTGAAAGTCATGATAAACAACAAAAGCCTGCTGTCTCACATTCTAGATGCCGCCTTGAAGAGTGTCCGCTTCTCAAAGCATCCCATCACACCTCTGAAAGATGTTCTCTTTGATTTCCTCTGTGTTATATCTTCAAGTGGTGATGCTGTTTGTCAGATCTGGAAATCTGGGTTCATGTCGAATTTTCCGAAGCTGGAAAAACAAAAATCAGAGCCTGAAAAAGTGGGATTGTGGTTGAAATTGATTACCCACGGCACGTACACAGCTTTCGGTCAAAAGATGGTGCTCACCATTCCTAACATACTTGACATTCTCCTGGAGTCACCACATAAGTACAATGTGTTGATCCTCATCAGAAATCTTGTCTTCAACGTCAAATCGCATCCGAAACTTTTGACGCACAGCTCTTTGATAGACTTTGTGTTGTCGTGCATTTCAATTGACAAGCCAAAACAAACTGTTCTAGCTCTTCAGGTGATTTTATATTTCATAAAGTTATCCTCTAAAGCCAAATCGATATTTCAAAATAAAGGTGCTGGTCAAGTTTTGGGAAAGTTAGAGCTCCAGTTAAAGAATAATCCCAATCAAGATATGTTGGCAGATCTAGAGGAACTTTTGTTGGTTTATATGTAAATTTGATCAGTTACTCAGAGGGCACAGGTTGTAATTTATTGTATAAATGTTGATGGAATATTTAAATTTGATATTATGAGATGAGGCGTTTTAATTCATAGCACATTGTTTAAAGTTGGTCACTATCTATTGTAGTTTAACTGATATCATTGCTTCATAAGAATTAATGGAATTACTTAACTGTTAGTGTTGTTGTAAAAGTCTACTCTCCTTATTCGCGGGAAAAACAAACTGCCGAATACTGAGTACGTACGGCGCGAAAACAAAAGTATTATGAGCAAGCTATTGCTCACGACGTGTATGTACGCGCGCGCGCACGAAGGTACGCCCCATGCGCGTCCAATATCGAATTGATCATCATCATCCTATTTTAAATTAAGATCATTTAATTCAAATGCATACATCGAGCGGGAATCTAAATCACAGGGGAAGTTAAATGTCCACCGCCTCCGGATCCCATAAAATGACGAATCATTACTAGGCACTAGTTATTTTCATCAAAGGTCGTTCACTTTCTTATATAGTATTTGTAATTTGTATGCTATAGAGCGTATTTTTATGCATCACAATTACGACTTAATTTAGTTTGTAGAGATGAGCTAGTTCGATAAATTTTATCTATTTAGAGGTCACAATGTTACATTATTCATAATACGTGACCATTGACGTTAAAAATGGTATATATTTTAATTGGACATGTTCATTTGAAGTTGAGGATATTGGTTTCCCTATTGTATTAAAAGGCACAGTGTAGTTGGTTGTCACAATATGAGAAAACAAACTATTTCTGGTTAGGATAATCGTTTCATCTTCTAGGCAAACTTTGCCACATAACGGTATCTCAAAAATACGATATCCATATCGCCTAAATTCGGCTGGCACTGTACTTAAAAGTTAACTTTTTCACACTACGAACATGTGACAGAGTTAAGATGAACTTTTTCGAATTTACAGTTGATAGGATAGGTGCATATGACTAATTTATCTTCATATTATTTACCGGGGTTTTTTTAATCAACTGATTCACAGAAAAAACGCAAGCTTTCAGGACACCTATCAGTAGTTAAGAGGTATTGTTTATAGGTATTATGGTGCCCAACAACAATGGATTTGCTATTTTGGCAGTCCATATGGAAGTATGGGTCACGGCTCACGTGACTACATACTAATTTTTCAGAAATTCTGGATTTAATGTCAAAATTATGCCATAGATTTCATGCTCAAGCTCCTTCCAATATTAGGCTATCGGACCTCCAACGAGTATGTAGTATGTACACTATAAGCCATGAGAGACAGAAGAAAAGTACACACAACAAAAGGATCATGGAACATTTACACCAATAGTCCTATCAACAATAGGTGGATCAATGGGAAGAGAAGCTAATACTTTCTTTAAGAAGTTAACTGATAGTGATAAACTATCTAGAAAATAGTGAGGCGATGACATTTATCAGGGAAAGAATAAGATTTGACTTATTGAGAACAACAATTATTGCTCTTAGAGGAGAAAGAGGGATGAAAAGTGGTAGTGCAGTTAAAAAAGCAGATTTAGATATAAATTTACAGCCAGTGCATTTATTGTAATTTGGCTACTTTTACTGTACAGGTTTTTTATAAATGCTCCTCAGTTTTTAGGGGGTTTTAAAAAATAAATGTTCTTAAGGGTTTTTACTTGTATATAGGGTCACTGTGATATTATCTATCTATTAAATTGTTTAAATATTTTAACAAGAATATCTTACTAGTTTTTAGTGTTATTGTTGCATTTCAGAACTCCTGTTCCCTCAGTTTTATTAATATCATTTTGATGTGTTATTTGAAAATTATGCCATCTTAAAAACGTGCACTAATAACCTAAACTTAAAATGGACGTGTCCACATGGCATATAGTTATAATTCATGGCCGCTGCTCTCACTTAAGATTTAAACACTGAGCCGGAGGTCCCCAGATTAAAGGCCTGCGGGCTGCGTCGTCGGATCGATGCGAATGTAATATATTAATTTATCCCATACCCATTTAATCTTTATTTAGAGCAATGTACTTCATACTAATGATCCAGTTGTGCGGTAGAGAAATTCTAGAACACATGGAGTGTAATTTTTCGGGTACATTGCACTGTTATAAAGATTCGAACCATGAATGGCCGGGATTATAATTTCACTAAAATAAAAGCTATTATATAATCATGAAAATGGAAACGCGTGATACTGGAACATTCGAATGTTATTTCGAGCAGATGCAGCTTCTCATAACCAGAGAGCCAGTGTAAATGTTATATATGCGAATATGTTGGCTGATAGCTGGTGACAGCCAAGGTGCAAGACAGGTGTCCGAAACTTGCAGGTAAACTCGCGTGATCAGATCGCCAGAGCGATAAATGCCTTACCAATTTTATCCGGCAGAACCCACCGCGCGTTACAGAAAAGTGGCAGCCTGGCCTTTCCGTCCCGTGGGCCTTCGCCTCTGCACCAGCACATCAATTACGGGCACCACAAGGGGAGGGTAACGGCATATTAAATGGAGAGTACACGCGAGAGCGTGTAGATTAGGATCACACTGCTGTGGCAGCCTTATTGTGTCAGGGCCAGGGGCGGCGTGCCTTTCTAGGTAACATGCGAAACTGGAGACTTTCACGTGGTAGCACTTAGCATTCCTACTTGAACAGGAGTCTTAATATGTTACGCATCATGCACCCTGCTGGAGGGGGCTTATATCTGAATATGTTTCCGGTTTCCTCGGGTGTATTGAAACTATATTCAGATGTTTAGAACTAGCTACTCTGACCCCAGTTGGTGCTCTCACGTTTGATTCAAATGAGTGGAAGTGCAGTATAGGTTATAAGGCTTCCTATAGGTACTAGGCTCCGTGCCGGTACTAAGCTTCGTCGTAATGGGCATGCATCTGTGTGTACATCCGTGAGCGGCAGCGACCCTTTCAACTTACCGACTATACCGTTATAAATTATAGTTGCATATTTATGCAAGGTGCATATGGCTTAAGTGTAGGTTCGTAGAGTTGGCGGTCGGGTCAAGGGAGAAGTTAGGATTGGTGTGCAATAAAACAGTTCTATCCTTTTTCATACAAATTGAATGAGAATTATAATTTAAACAAAGATCGTTAGAAAAAAAAGGAGACAATAAAAGAAGTCATCACTTCGCTCTAACATATAATTAATAACCCAAACATTAAAAACTTTGTAACTGTTATATTATTATGGAGATTGGTTTTAAATTAAGAATAAAAACAACAAAGTCGAAAAACAAAAAAACCATACAGTGCAGCTCGCAGGCTGAAAAATTGTAATTGTAACATTATTTTAACTGACTACAAACCACCCAGAGAATTATAAAATCATATCAAGTATTGTCAATCTTAGTAATAAGTTTGATGGGAAGAGACTTTTGTTCAAGTAAGCCAATGTGTGGCTCAGTGCACTTATCTCGGATTATTAGCATTTCCTCGAAGGTGTATTTCACCAGCGTTTTACCCAAAGGGTCTTCATCAAGTTCTATCATGGGCGAGGGAGTGGGCATTTCATTGTTCTCAGCCTGCTCAAACTTCTCCACCAAAACATTCAGATGTTTCTGAAGTTTGTACTGGTTTTCAGTTCCACACAAACCAGGCACGAACAGGAATTTGCAGGCCTCCGTCTTAGTACAATCCAGACACATAACGGGCGTTTTAGTAATGTTTTGAGCACTGTTTATCAGGCGGTCAATCAGCTCAGGGCTGTTTGTTAACCGGTTGTGCAGTTTTAGGAGCATGCCGAACTTTTTATCAGGCAATGACGTCATGAACTTAATCAGCGAAACAACCTCAAACACGTGATTATTGTTCCCACTGAGGTGGTATGTTAACTGCTCACTGTCTGGCCGCTCAACCTTGATATCAATACCCGGGTACAATTGCCGGAGTAGCTGGAGCAGGTAACCGGACTCCTTCAACTCCTGGTATACTGGTATAGGTACTTCCTCCGTTATGTATTCCGAGTTGTCCGGAAGAAGGGATGAAGCGAACATTTCCACGGCTTTAGAGGTGGTTGCCCGGTCACCTGAAACGTTAAAAGAAGGATACTTAATTGTGCTCTAGCGACATATACAATCATAGCAGAATTAGGATTAAATCAGGTTAAGTGAAAATATGTAATCTGAGGAGATAAAATTCGCTGGCAGATATTTTTGACTGCCTCATTAATTGAAGTAATTTAGATTGTTTGCAATCATTTAATACGTTATCTTAGTTATCGTGGGTTACACATAAACTCAATTTTAATTTGATTCAGGAAACTCATTCAATCAATATTTTATATATCTCCATTCGAGATAATTTTTCAAATGCACCTATTTGCGATATAGGAAAAGTTAAAAACGCGCGATCAATACAAATTTTTGAACAAATGTGGAAAGCATACATTACAAATGACATAGCAAAAGGTAAAAACTCCTGTAAACAATTAAGCTACAAAACATGATGAGTAGAAAACAAAACAAACCATTATAATCATTATCAAACAGAAACAAAAACTAAAAATGTGACAGTACGATTAAGAAATATCAGTGATTTGAACACACTCAGCAATAGCATGAACAGCCATAGTCAGTTTGGTAACATTATCAACAAGAGTTGTGCTGAAGCTTACATTACATTGCATCAGCGCACGATCTATTCCTTTTTCTTTGCATTATAGAACTTGTCATTAAGATAAGTGTTAACTCGGTACTGATTCTCATACTGTGGTAATCCCAAACAAAAGATGTACGTTTTTAGGGTCTTCACATCCGTCATTTCGGCAATTTTCCCTTTGGCAAAACGAGTAGTTCTACCAACATCTGCTCTAATTTCACCAATATCATGAATCTCCTCCTCAGGAATGTGGAACAACGTTCCAACGCGTTTCCGGGGAGACTCAAGAAAGTATTCTATACACCGGGCAGCCTGATACACATGTGCCTTCATACCCTTCAAAACAAACTTGTCCCCTTTCGTATGTATATCAACGTCAGGAAACAAGTGCTCCAAGACACGGTAGATGTAGCGGCCGGTTCCTAGGGCTAGAGCAATGCTTCCTGGTTCCTCTGCGTCGCTCAGAATCTCGTGGGTGATGATGGAGGTGGCGTCAGGGTCGGCCACCGTGTCGAACATGCGCCTTATTTGGTTAATGTTGTGAGGTGGACCTGAAAATTACCGGGCTGCAGCTTGAACTTTGTCATGAAGTAGTGGCTACATTCATGAAATAGCTAATAAATAGTCGCCTGTGTTATGTCAAGCGAGATTTATTTCGGGTCTTAACAAAAATGTTAAAAAAGAAGCCCTAAATGTTTCACACAGAGTGCCGGAGTACGCATAACCACGACAATAAGCCGAGGGTCTGTGTGCTTGTGTAAACTGTACAGTCCAATTTGTGTAAGGCTTGACCAGGAAAATTCCTGACATAGTACTATGAAATATAGAGTATAGGTAGGACGAAAATTTATGGCCCATATTGTTTCCTGTTCTCTGTGGACTAGGTTAAGAAAATTAGCATATTTAATATTTATATATATTTATAAGTAAGATCTCCAAAGTACCACTCTTTGGAGAAGCTTGAAATGAAATATATCTAATGTAAAACGACATGTAAAAAAACATGCGTAAAATGAATATCTAAAGATAATTACCTGAGAGGCTAATATTGTAGTACTTGGGTTCCTCGCACGCGGAAATCATGTAAAACGCTCCAAGCTCTTTCAGTTCAGCTTTCAAGGTGGTATTCTCTAGGAATGCCATCAACTGTAAATGAGTGATGCGCTTAGATCGATACACCGTGGATCCCTTGTGAGTCTCAGGCTGAGTAATGGTGGCACCTTCGCTGCTTGAAGATCTGCTGCTTTCTCGCACTTGTTCAGTAGAATTTTGACGAGAAGCACCACTAGAGTAGTCAGAACTGATGGCCCCGGCACGTGGTAATGGTTTTGTTACGTAGTCCGAGTTTTGACGAGAAAACACGGAGGAACTTACAGTGCTCTGACGAGACAGGAACGGTTCAGAACTATTGTGACGAGAAAGCCTTGGGTCCGAACTATCGTGAAGAGAAAGCCTTGGGTCCGAACTATTGTGACGGGAAAGTTTGGGCTCTGAGCTATCGTGACGAGAAGACCTAGAATCCGAACTATCGTGACGGAAAAGCCTAGGATCCAAACTGTCATGACGGTTAAGCCTAGGCTCCGAACTTTCGTGACGAGGAAGCCTCCGCTCCGAACTAGTGGACTGGGTATTGCGCAAGGCAACTGTCTCATAATCTGATGTATTAGGGATTGAAGGAAGTTCCGTGTCGGGAATGGAAGTGGTAGAAAAGGGTAGGAATCCTTTTGGTCGCACCATCGTGATAGGTATTTGAGGAACACTGTTACAAATATCCATGTTGGCTTCACCAGGAACTCTTGTAGCGGGTGAAATGATAGGAGAGTCAACAAAGACATCATCAGGAGCCGCCATTGGTGGCCGGGATACTGGCATAGTGCTGCTAGGCAATCTGCTGAGTGCAGGGATTACAATTGGGATATTCTCAATAAGAGGGAGCGTGTTATTAATCATAACATTGTCTGGTATTATAACCGCCATAGGTGGTCGGGACACAGCCATGGGGCTTGGGATATTAGTGGGCCTGCTTACAGCAGGGATTGGAGCTGGTATATGATCAAGTGGAGGATTTGTGTTAATATTGTTATTACTGTTGAAGGATAAAGTCATCATGGGACTCAATATATCAGCACTGGGTGGTGGTACTGCGGGGATTCCAGTCTGAAATATTTCCAACGGTTGTTTTGTAGAACTTATATCTGTTGGGGTAGTAACACCGAATCCAGTCAAACCTGCTTCGGGCACATTTTTCGGATTGACAATGTTAATAGAATCGTTCATTATAAGTTCACTGAGATCAATGAAGTCATCGTCTTCGCCAGAAGATTCACTGCTTGATCGGCCGTTCTGGACGACTATATTAATCGGTTCTTCATCACGGATCATATTTCCCATCGCACCTTCCTCGTCTGGGGGAGTATTTTCCAACACCAACAACTCGACCTGGTCTTCCATCTTGATTTGTTGTATTTCGTATGATAAATTTCTGGTTATCTCGTCCGCAGACGATTGTAGCAGGTTAAAAAAAGGTGTAAAAACCGGCACCCCAGTTTTCTGAGCGACAATGTTCTCCATGATACAAAGGTAACTTCTCCTGTCCTCCGGAGAGTTTGACCTCCGAAGACAGTTCAACAAGGCACGATGCACCAACACTCGATCTTCTTGGTAAGGGCTGTAGCCTGCCATAATATCTGTCAGGGTCAATGGAGGGTTTCCCTGGTAACAAGACGAGTCAATATTAAACTGGGTGTATATTGTTAGTTCGTAAAGTATTTAAAGAATTTCAATCGTTTCAGGGTTCTTTTCATCCGATTTATCCAAACGCTTATAATTGTTTTGCATCATAGCTTAAATTCAAAGTGACTGGGTCACAGTAGAAGCAATTAAAAACAAATTTGAAGCATAAATCAATAATAAATATCTCTGCATGTAACAGTCACGACTGAGTCAAAAGATTCACGAACGTTTATAGTGCAAACAAGACACATCACACGTCAGAACAGTTCGACATTATAACTAATAATACATCGACATCATTTCCACACAAATTTTACTGATCACAAATAAAACCATGCAAAATCTTCTCAAAGGTACCACTCACACCATTTATATGATCAAACAATGAAATGCTTGACGTATGTCAGAAAGACTTTCCAGTGTCTTGAAAAGTTCATGATCTATAGTTTTTACAGAACCGATATTCGGCACAATCGAACAATTGGGACCTGCAAGGTATTGGTCCTTGTACTGATCTTTGCGATCTTATCCTGGATCCAAATCCTTATGTCTAAATTGTTCCATTCTGCCAAAAAGCCCAATAGAATCAGTAATGGAATGAAATCTGAGTGTATCAAACCATATATTAATTTTATTGGCCGAGTATAATTTCAACGTCTCAACTCTTACTTACACAATGAAAATGTATATAAAATATCGTGTGAATTTTCGATGATAAACAGTTTATAATAATTATAAACCATAAAACTTTGCAGCTCAAAAAAAAATAACAACTAGAAGTAAGTAGCATAATCAGCTCCAGAGTTTGACGCTGATCTAGACATTTCACCCAAACTTGGTTTTTTTAAATTACTCCAAAATACGAGTATTGTAACGGAGGAAAAGAGCCGGATTTGCAGTTTGATAATTAACCTTCAAAAATCATAATTTTATGTTTAATCTTTATTTTTATGTGAACTATTATAGGAGATTAAACTCATAGGACTGCTAAATTCAATTATTTCAATGCGAGATAACGTCAAATTTCGTGCTCAAACATTTGAACATAAACCAAAACATGAAGAGATCATACTGGAATCAACAGTTGGGCTTTCCAAAAATATATGAATCATGGTGAATTTTAAAAGTTCAACAAATCAGCAAAAATTTACATAAAAATATAAATAATACTTTGATTATCATAACTAGATAACTCCTGATTAAATAAGCAAAAATCATTAATAAATTGCAATTATATATAACATATGCCGATATAATAATGACAAAATAGTGATAAAATTTCATAATAGATCTCAAACTGCGAACTTACTTATCATAGCAAGTTTCGGTTCAAACGATCATCAATCATTTGCATAATGTTATCGGTTCTGTCCCTTTCTAGAGGGCAGAACCCCTCCCTCACATTTCTCTTCTCCCTTCCCCCCCCCCCCTCCCCACCACCCACTTCTTCCTTTAAGCAAGACTTTCTGTTAAGACACAAAATTGAAGATATATTCAGTTGGCTAGAAGTGTCTTCAAATAGAAGTGTCTTCAAATTTTCGTTATGATTTTTAGACCTGAAAGAGCCTATTCTAACAAAGTAGCCGGATGACACTTGACAGAAAGCCCCACATTTGACAGAAACCCCGTAGGTTTCTTGACCCCTCTACTAGGCATGAAGATATCAAGGTAAAACAGAAATATTTATCAGGATACTGCTTAATTTTCTTAGTACGGATTACTGATTTCAGGATATGTAGCAAGAATTGAAATGAATTTGAGTTATGAGTAACCGTTAACTCGGAATGAATAGAGTGTAACCTTTTCCGGCTACATCATTGCTCACCTGGTGCCTGGAAGCCAAATTTAAGATGAAATGTTGGGCCCTTGCCAGGGCCTTCATATGAAGCACGAAACAAACTCAACACTAATACACTGGAGTTATCCATTGTCAACTGTGTCATCACATGCTTCGTCATTATTTTCAACTTTTATCTCGACCACTTCAGTTTCACAATCAACAGGATTAGATTCTACGTGATTTACGTCTAGTCCATTTGAGCTGACACCATTAGATGCCACACTATCATCACTTGCACTGGTAGCCGGCGTCTCTGCCATCTCCTCAATGCATTCCTCCTCCAGAATAAAAACCTGATTAGTAGAGGAGCGGTCCTTGACTTCATCAGCACTAGAAGAATCCTGGTTCATCCTCTCCGGAGTGGCAGGTATTTTTGCTCCACAGATTTTGTTGTGTATCGGCCAGTCCCTCTGCTGACAGAACTCTGAACAGTACCGGACGAGGTTGCAACGCCCGCACTTGAAAGGAGCTGGTCTGTTGCAGTTTGCACAGTGACCCGTGTCTTCACGTTTTCTTGATTTATTAAGTTCAGATTGGCTCAGGACTTGAGCCAAAGTGTCTGTTATTGCACTTTTGAAGTTGCTGGAAAAGGCACGACTTGGACTAACAGTGCTTTTCTCATACTGATTCATCAAATGTTTCAGAGACGATATTTCAGACTTCATGCCCGATAATAAACCAGCTAAACTTGAGATTCCTTCCTCTATAATTTTAGTCTTCCGGGAAATCTGATCGATAGTCATTTTGATGCCTTTGTGAATATGTGCGTTACTAGGAACAGATGAACTAGGACTTAGCATGATTCCTGGATTTTCCATCTCTGGTGAAATCTGCGGCTGTGGAGCAACCGCCAGTCCTGAACATTCCGGAATTTCACCGTCTTCATCACTATTCTTGATTTCATCGTTTTTGTTAGCGTTATCAATAGACTGGCTAATGAGAGTCAACAACTGGCTCATATCATTGGGATCCGTCTCATATCCTGAACATGTGGCACTTGCAGACTGACTGCGAGATACCATTGATGGCATGGCAAGCTCATCCTCAGCCCGTCTCTTCCTGTTAGGTGGACAGAAAAACTTGATAGGTCCAGGTGTTCCTTCACTACTTTCCCCACCATCTTGTCCGCTACAAATCTGACAGTAACAGTTGAAAGCATGAATTTTCAGTTCGCCACTATTCAGAAAAAAGTAAAATGGTTTTCCATCGAGTTTTACACTTCTTTTCCAGTCCTTTGAGGTTTCACGGCCACCGAATTTCTCAAATTCTTTAGGAGTGAACCATTTTGTGATAGAGCTGTCACAGTGAATACACTTTCCTTTACTTCCACTTCCCAATCGATCAGGATGCAACGTGCCCGATTTGTTACCACAACTCTGAAAGGAAAATATCATGAAATATCAAATAAAAGATCCATTTTATGTTCAACTAATTCCCTTTTAATAATATCATTATATAATCAATGCTTAGGCCGACAGTTTTACAAACTTTTAGAGTATGGCAAGGATTAGGATTGGACCTTGGTTTGCATTATACATTATAGTACGCAATTTTCTAGACCTAAGTATCTTTATGCTAATATGGCCGTAACTTAGTCACTAACCCTATGGCCTGAGCTTGAGCACTGATTACATGACTTCACTTTACAGACATTACATGTCCAAACGCCCAAGGAGTATTCCGTATAAGGAATACAAATTTTAAGGAATACAAATTTAAATTTTGATATTTATTACAGGTTATACATAATATCATAGATAACCATAAAAGCTGCACGTCGGCTGATTGCCTCAATTTGGATTTATGATAATTTTATTCGACAGAAGCTGAAGGATGGCAGGCGGCAGCTCAAAAGACCCAGTGCACTGTCGACAAGATCTAGGACTCGAGTGCCAATATTGACTTTTCTGAACCCTTTTTCACCGATTGGCCCAGTGCCCAGTGGACCTAGTGAGCCGCCGCCCACCTTACTTCTAAACGAGGCAACAGATCTGTGGTAATTTTCTCCCGAATCTATAAAAACGAACTCTACCACAGACAGTAGAATTGTTAATAGGGAGAAAATACTACTGTCTGGACAACCAATGTAGCACAAATATTGTATATTTAATGAAAAGCTATTCAGCTCTTGGCTGGTGAGTGCTCAATTTGAAGGACATAAATTGTGAATTTATTTTACTTACAACACTGTAAACTGTCTTTATACTGTTGGAAAGAGAGGTTGATTCACTGCGCTGAACCATGACAGAGCATCATAAAGGAAACATGGCCTGGGGGAACATACTGTTAGTCAGTGTATCACGTATATAAAAATACAATAGGAAATGATCACAGAAACCGTATTATAATATAACAGGCTCGCTACCGGTTCTGTCAGCATGAGATTCGTGGACATACTGTCAAACTGACCAATCATCTTATTGTTGATGAAAAACATGATACTGGGTACTAAACCACTTTCTTTAACAAGGCAAAACACCTGTTCATGTTATGTTATTGAAAATTATGGTAGAAAGATGGGAGCAATAAAATCAGTAAAGATTGTATTCTGAAGGAATTAAAAGACTACAGAGCTGAGTACACATCCTATTCCAACATAACCAGTAACATTTATTAAGATGATAATGATAATACATTATGAAATAATAAATTTAGAAATGAATGGAGTATGTTAACTCCACAGTTTATTTATTCTACATTCGTTATTTTGTAAATGAGTACGAACAAATGACCATATTTTCTTTACCAGAAAATTAAATGAAACTATCATGTATCTACACTGGTAAACTCAAACAGGCCAATATCTCCCCTGTTGATATTTAAGTACGAGCAGGTAGACTCAGATGGTTTGGTCATGTGACCTGAGGATGCCAGAATAGCAAAAGGCATGATGATGATGAAAATCTTTTAAAATAACTGGCTACAATGAGCATTTTAATAACAATGAATAGTAGAGATCATCAAAAACTTTAATTTCCAACAGACATTTTTTTTTCAGAAACACACCTAACAAATTCTACCCTGCCAACAAGCTATTAAAAGCATTAATAGTTTCGTATAAATTTAAGATCTAAACAATTACTACCCTTCAAAATATTAATAAAAATGTTTACGTAACAAAATAATTTACTATACCAGTCTCTTAGACGTTTCAAAATGAAACTGAGGTTGAAGATGCAGTTACAAAAGGCCACTGGTTCTCAATGGTTACTGAAACAAACTTTTTCCAAAATAAAAGTTTTAAAGCAGTCCATATCTGCTTTTCTGTGAACTAAACAGCTCAAATAGAAAGGGAGTGAGACTTACCAAACGGCAAACAGTGGCATCTATGTGCTCAACAGCAATCTTAAAGCACGATAATAACTAACATGCTTGTTCAAAATTACCGATATTTGGAATCAGATGTATGCAGTAGCAAAACTTGACATGATAAAGCCCTCCAATAACACCCCACAGGCCACACCAACGGCCTCAATGAAGCGGAGCCACTTTTGAACCCTATACGAACACTTAGGAACTATGTAACAAAGTTTTACATAGGGGTGAATGGATATGGATTCTGGTGGCATACTTATTTAGACACGTGACCAAAATTTACCTATCAGCTATTAACCAATTAAACCCCAGAACTATGAAAATTTACAAAAATAAGTCACACTGGTAATTAGTTTCCTTCAGGAAGACATGGCCTATGGGTTTTGGATCACCCAAGGTACTGCTGTTTGTCAGAGTGATATAAAAACTACGGAAATGTAAAATGTGAGCATTCAGTTTATTTTAAAAGATTAGACGATGACTTACGGAGAATCGCTCCAGATGACTCACGGAGAATCGCTCTAGAAGACTAGCTAGAATTCGTCGCGACGCTCGATTTTAAGAATTTTATTCATCGTGATTGAATTCCAGTAAGTTGTGTGCGTGCGCGGCACATTTTAAATTCAAGTGTTTGGCATTGATCTTTCAAATGAATGATTTTGTAATGAATAATACGTGCTTAAAACTACTCAGTCTAAAATTATTGGCAATCAAAGTGTTTAGTGTATGTAAAGAAAGGGACACAAAACGTTCGTCAAGTTAAGTTTACATTCTTAACTTTATCTAATCAACATTTAGTGAACAATAAACAATATAATATTGCCTACAATCAAAAATTGCTTGTCAATTTTATTTATGATATGAAATTAAGTATAGTTGTTATATTCTTTTCATCGTTAAGATAATTTAAAATCAAAATTTGTATTCGCAGTCCTGAAAAATTATTGATAAGATCCAAGACGCCGCGCACATGCATACGTACGCTATGTGTTATGGTCACAGGCGAATCTAGAATCGAGCGTCCGTGCACGACTTTTCAGAAAGTTTGATAGATCATCTGATTGTTTGCACTTCGCGGCTGTTAATCACAGCACATTATGTGTGTGTTGGATGTTCTTGTTTGTTGACTAGTTTGGCACATTCAATCATTGAATGAATACATCTGACTTATCTCTATTTGATTTAATCTTTGTTGAATATTATTCTTAACATTGATAGCTGTGCCTAACACGGTTATGCTGGTTAGTAGTTATAATAGATGTTGACCTAAAAATCATCACCCATAGGTCCCATTAAGGAAAACAGTAGAGAAATGGCTGCAGTACCTGCTGTTGGAGATGGGCCTATGAGTCTGATGGAAGCTCTCAGAGAGACGCTTAAGAACGCTATCATCGTTGACGGTGTAACCAGAGGTCTCCGAGAAAGTGTCAAGAGGCTCGACAAACGCGAAGCTCTCCTGTGTGTTCTGGCTGAGAGTACCGATGAGAAGAATATCCTGAAATTGGTGGAAGCCCTCTGCCGAGAACATGGCATTAACCTCATCAAAATAGATGACGCCAAGAAACTGGGAGAGTGGACTGGTTTGTGTAAGATTGATAAGGAGGGTCAGGCAAGGAAGGTGGTACGATGCAGTTGTGCTGTTATCCACGCTTTTGGAACAGAAAGTCAAGCACTTGACATCATCAACGACCACTTCAAGCGTACCGTCGTCCCAGAGGCTTAATTTGATCCGATCACATTGAACTTCAGACTTTTTAATCTTATTTAACGACCGTGTTTTACTGATTGTCAAGTTAATTCCTAATTTGTACCGTTTACAGCCTCCGTTATTCGAATAAACTGTTACTATCAATCTTAATAGAAAAATTGTACAATAAGTGTTCCTATTAATCTAAAACATAGTGTAGGATGTCGGCATACATTCTTTACGAACATGCAGCTGGATATGCACTGTTCAAAAACATCGCCATGGAGGACATTGGATCTCAACTAGACCAGGTTTGAGATTACAGCAGCTTTCTTTAAAAGTACGCTAGGACTGGTTGGTTGAAGTATCATGATAAATGATCACACTTTATATCGTAATGTTGATAAAAGTTATAAGGAAACGCAGTAAGTTTTATTATTTTCAATTTTCAGGTTCAAGCAGCAGTATTGGATTTGGCAAAGTTTGGTAAAGTAGTAAAACTAGAGTCTTTCCTACCTTTCAAATCTGGAGCAAACGCCCTGGAAAATATCAACTCCATTTCTGAAGGTATAAACTCAATTAATTTAACGTCACTTTGGATGAATTTGTGGTGTCTCGATATTCTATGTCCACCAAAAAGACAAATTGATGTAACTTTTGTTTCGCAATCCAAATTAAGTACAAACCTGAAACTTCTAAAAACTTAAGGAGTTGTACACGACGACCTAAAGAACTTTCTGGAGACGATGTTGCCCAAGAAGGCGGGTAAGCTGGGTGTAACCGACAGCAGGATCGCAGGTTCAATTACTGAGGACCTAGATATTGAATGCGACTTCGGGGGCGTCACAGCTGAAATCATGCGTGGAATCAGGTACACCTACATGATGGGTTGTATTAATTTAGTTCAACAAACTTAGTCTCTTTTAAAGATCAAAATACGATACAATTTTTCTGACCTATAAGTAACTATGAAAATGTCGTTCCCTAATAATGTGCTATAATTTATTATTCAAGTCCTGTTTTAGCTGCTGACTAATTTCAAATAAAATCATCCATGTTTTTAAATCTCAATTTTTACAACCCCGTCTTCAGATTCCATTTCGCAAAGTTTGTGGAGGGTCTATCCGCCAAGAACTGTGAGAAAGCACAGCTTGGTCTCGGTCACAGTTACAGTCGGTGCAAGGTCAAGTTTAACGTACACAGAGTAGACAACATGATCATCCAGAGTATTGCTCTACTGGACCAGATCGACAAGGACATCAATACATTCAGCATGAGGCTTAGGTTGGTTTCTTCTCATAATATACTAATCTGGAATTAGGTTACAACATACGAGAGCATATCCATAAAATTGTGTGCTCTAACTCAAACGATTTTTTGGAGCTGCGCTTTGAATGTGAAGAGAATTTCCTTAAATCTATCCAATTTAAGGATTCTTAGCAATTTCAATAAATTTCATGTTAAGCAATTCAAATCTTGATCCAACAACATGACCACTAGACTGTACACTTAACTGTATAAATAACATAATTAACATAATTAACATACTTCAGAGAATGGTATTCCTACCATTATCCAGAACTCATAAAGATAGTTCCTGATAACGTCATGTACGCTAAAGTAGTCAGTCTCATCAAGTCCCGCAAGGTAAGCACTCAGCAATTGAAACCTCTCTTCAGTCGAAAGTTCGCTTTTGGAGAGCTTTGAATGTGTAGAACGATACTTTTTAGAACAAATGTTTATTACCGCCCGTAGCTGTGATCGTGACAAGTAATTTAAACTAAGACTTTTTGTTACGTAACGTTTGATGTTCTAACGCTAGCGATACCCAGGAATTGTCGGAAGAGAGTGTGGTAAAGTTGGAGGATATTATTATGGACAGTGCTAAAGCAAGGGCCGTAGTAGAGAGTGCCAAAATCAGCATGGGTTCGTGGAATTACTATTTTAACTGATCAGGTCGTTGCATTACGTAACTAATCTAATTTGATGTCTGACATAAAATTTTGTCCTAACATTGAAATATCTCAGGAATGGACATCTCACCAATAGATTTGATCAACATCCAGAGTTTCACGACTCGTATCATAGCTCTTAACGAGTACAGGTCCAAACTAAGTACTTACCTCGGAGAGAAAATGAATCAATGTGCTCCAAATCTTACTGCCCTCATCGGCAACCAGGTCAGAGCAAAGATCTTTTTATAAATAACAATTTACTTGTTTTTACTTACACTTTATCATATTCTTAAAACCTTATTTAACCAGTGTTATAATATGATAATAAAAGATGAATTCCTAATTTGGGTTGGGGTGTATTTCTTCCTCGTCCCCTTCCTCTCACTGTTCTTGAGGTTGAAGTGAAAGTAACTCTCAGAGGTTGGGTTGTTGGAGTTTCTTTAAGTGATAATAAATAAGAAATTAAATAGTTTGGACGGTTCCAACGTCGCACAAAGATTATTGTGCCTTGGGACGAAGTTACGATGGCTGAGGAAAAATCAGTCATCCAGTACTTATGTCGTTCATTATTGTACGCTATACACTACTCTACAAACTCCCAGTTTGCTAGTCTTGGATTTTAATAATACATCACCATATTAGTTCAGAACCTTTCCTCTTTATTGTCTTAAGTGATCCTGTAAAATTTAAGGAAATGCTAAGATTAAAAGAGGCAGCAGCCTAAGAAACTAATTAGCAGTCAATATCATAAGCACTTTTGACAAGATGAAAGATGCACCACTTTCTCTCTCCCACCCTGTCTGTCGATATGGGGATCTTCACAGAACTGTATAGAGCCCCAAAACATTTCATATAAGAACATAACTCCAGCCTCCAAGTTGATTAGTAGAGTCTGACATAAAGATGAAATGAAAGAGTAATCACTAGATGCATCTACGGGAGCTCCACTAGGCGTAAGCCTTAAAGGTGAACGTAGCTTCCTCACTCATTGAGATATAGTAGAGGAGACGTTTTTTCTCGGAAATCAAATGTAATGTATTAAGAAGAACGATTATCAATAAATTAGTGACAACAAAAGTCCATTCCAAACTGATGGAGAGGAACTATATAAATTATATTATATAATACAAATTTTAGCATGGCTCACTTACGATGAGCTCATGAGCTGGGCTGAGTTGTTTAATCCAGGCACAGATGGTGAACGGGGTTACCGGCCAAGTTACCTGATCCACGCACATACCGAGAACGCAGTTGCTTGACCCATGAGCAAACAGGCATGGCCTCTTTCGGCATTACAATGAAATTTTAGTCTGATATTTCCAGTGAATTTCGGGATATTATCTGGTTAGTACGTGATCCAATCTCCGTTATCTTCGAGCTTTCTCAATGAATATTTTGGGACCTACTGCTACCTGCATACGCAGCGCTATGAGGGTACTATTTAAGGGTTTATATCATTGCCAGCTGGGTTAGTGTTGTCTCTGAACTTTGATCCCTTTTTGAAACAGTATCTGAAAATACTTATATGTTTATGGTTATTTACCCTACTTATTTAATACTTATTTAAATACATAATATTAATGGCAATATATATATTAGGACGCAATGCGATGGAAGGGTGGGAGCATAAGATAAATCCCTTCCACAGCGGAGCTTCATGAATGGGATTCTTGATTCATCTTCACATATTAACAGGCAGTAAAACTATCGGGCTGAGATGAAATTATAGTTCCGTAGTTTTAATAAACCATCATTTGACGTGCTGAAAATCAGATAAATATTTTGTATACTTTATTAATTAGTCTTAATTAGTTTCCCGGTGAAAAATCCGTTATGTCCTGTTCTAGCTAGATGATAAGTTTGTATATCACGTGAAGTTTATCCATTAAGATATTAATTTTATTCGAATAAAATGTTTAAAACATTGAGCGAGTATTTTATTATATCAATAATTAGAGTTACTTCGATTAGCAGAACTACTTGCAACAGTGAACTGCGCACTGAGACTGTTTCATTATTCTATTGGTTTTCTTATCGGGGACGTTAGCTCATTATTTCTAGCTCTAAATGTAATCTATGCCCTGTTGTGAGAAGTTGGCCGGGTTGAATAGTCGATTTTGAGGATCAATTGCACTACTAGTAAAAAAACAAATCTTTTTAGAAATCAAATTTGGAATGATATTCTAGGGCCATGATAAAAATCTACGGCTGAGTAACTCGACATAAATCCGTTTTTTATCGTTAGGGTTCTTTGGGTTTACTTCTACCTCTAGTTCTACGGTACTTTCATATTCTTGGCTGATGTTTATCATATTTCAGTCTTTCCGATTTTTACCCATTCAGTTAACGATGCAATATATGATATATGATAATAGATAAGAATTAACAGAAATTATGTTACAACCTTCCTCACCATGCTATTAAATTATTGGCGTGCTAAAGGAGCACATAGATAAAACTGTCCCTGGTGGCACTATTACTCTGTTTAGTCTTATTCTGTGATGAATTTACTTGTCTCCTCACAAAAGTAAATGTTGGTTCGCAACAACTTCTTCAGTTTCAGCTTGTTTTGTTGGTTTAGTTTTACGTTCTCCATACATGTAATATACATTACATATTTTACGAATCTGTCTTGTGACCTTAGGTCGATGTAGGATTCGAGTTTGCGTGTCTGCGTATTCCTGTGGTTTATATGTCTAGTAGTCTAGTAGTCTACAATACGTTTCATAAATATCTTGTTGACAGATATTGGCTTGAAGTAAGGAACAAAAAACAAATAAAAACGTGAGTTTGTATCCTGAATCACATGCCGATTGCATCAAAAATACAGTAAGATGGCCACTAAAAGAAAAAATTACCATTAGACAATCATAAGGTAAATGATTTAGTGTCTGAACAAAATAACGCGTTGCTCGAGCTCCGTGAGCAGTGACTCATTGAGCGCTCGATTATTTAGCGCGTACCTACAACAACATTGGAACTGAATTTAATTTAATGTCTAATAATCTGGACAGTTAATATCCCTTATATTGATTGTTAAAATCGATATTGTGAATTCTAACCAGCTTTTTGGAACGCTGCAGCGTTTTTCCTGTCGATTTTGACAACAGTACTCTGCAAGTGTAAGGTTTTAATCTTGCGACTGTTTTAGACGGTTGTTATCCATGATGATGTTCTAAGGCAATAACAGCTGAACTTCAACACAGTAATAGGCGGTGTTGACTATATATAATATGTAATATATAATATTTATACGCTCGGAAAGCGGAATACATATATGTATTTAAATATCTTGCTTATGAAAGCTAATTAAGCAATGAAAAAGTAACAAGAAAACTGATCCCAATATTCTAAATTTTAAAAATTCATATTTCAACTTCTTCAATATTTTCCTGTTTGATTTCCTCTTCATTATTCAACTCTGTTGCCGTTCGGTTGACTCCCATCACCCCCAAATGTAATGCTGCCACTTTGTCAGTCTTCTTTCCTACTGAATTTTCCATACCTTCCTGTATCTTCCCGAGTAACTTGGCGAATAGCGCAATACAAAGCGCAGTGACCATCGTAGAAATGACTGGTGCTATGTTCAGCAGAGCATGACCAGGGCTGTGCACGTAAATGTCTCCAAACCCAATAGTAGTGGCTGTCTGTACAGTGTAGTAAAGGGATATTAGGAAGGACCACTCCATGTTTGCTCCTGTGTCGAAGAGAGCTTTCTCCAGGACAGAGTCTCGTTCAAGTTCCACCATAAAGTCACACATTACACCTGATAAATAGTTGTGCTCTTATTTCCTTAAGTTATTTAGGAAGGTATTCAAATATGGTTCAACGACAAGATACGGTATTTGCTCATAATTCTGAATAAAAACAAAAAAAATTCACTTTACAATCCAGTAGTTCTATCCCTCTTTTAATAAAGTTTTAAGACCTAAAAATAGCATGACTTTTAAAATATGGAGTAAGAGCACCCAATCACTCAACTAAGCTTTGTTTTCTTACCGTAAAGAATGATGATGAAGAATACGAAAGCAACTTGTAGAACCGCAATAGAATTACCATTTCCAAAATATTTCTGAATCCATTTTCTCCGAAGTAGAAACGTCTCGAACCAGTCCAAAAATCGGGAGATGTGACCTTATTTTTAGTATCAAGATCTGTTAAACATCAAACAATCCCAAGAACGGCGATTATTACACCAAAAAGCAATGGATATATTTGATAGAATAGGATATGATATACAGCCTAATGTTCATTCAAAATAGATTCTTTTGATATGCATTATACATATTACAAATGTAACCGTCAAGTTCATTAAACACTCGTCACAAGTCAAAAATCATAAATACCAATAAGAGCTGCGAAGAGAGGAATCCCAAATAATAAGTACACGAGTGTTACAATTCTCAGTGTGTTGTTTGGTGGATAGTAAACACCCCAACCTGTCAAAGGAAATTGTCATATCAAGAATCCCAACTAGACTGAGTTAATCATGGCTTTAAGATCAATCCACTGCTGATTGAACAGCGAACAAATGTCTACTAGTTACTAGACTACTAGTTAGTCGAATTGTTCATGAATTTTTCGAATAATTTTCATACCCACGGTGGACATAATGCTGACAGCGTACAAAAATGCATCTCCATTGGACTTGGCATTCCAGGCAGTAAGGTTCCACTTGGCATACGAACAGCTTGCTCCGTAAACTTTAGTAAAGAATGTAACATTTTTGTCCATCTGTTTGTCTATAATTTTGGAATAGTCATCCTCAGAAAGTGTATCAGTGAGACCTATGTGTTTTTTAAGAGCCACTGCTCGAGGCGTGTCACCTTTCATCCACTGAAGAAAAAGGGGTAAAAAATATAAACGCAGCAGTCTGTTAAGTTAGATTTTGGCGCATTTTTTAATTTTCTACACATTTTGGTTAGTTTTCTACCAAGTTCTGTGACGTGACTACTTTAGGATAAGGCAACTGAGCAATGTGCATGTAAGTGTTAAATGATGACTTTGTGCAACATATTGATATACATAACATCCACTCCTCACAATATAGTCTTTAGCAAATCTGTTAACAAATATGTCAACTCACTGCTCGGAGAGTCTCATTGAAATGCAGCTGTTCCTCCAGAAGTTTATACGACACCAACTCCTCGTGGTTCCCTTCAATCCCCATGAACATAACCGTTCCACCAAACAGTAGCAAAATCAGAGCAACCGTATACCACGAG